GGTATATTGTGTGATGCTGAGGTTTGGAGTGTGAATGAATCCATCATCAAAATAGTGACTGTAGTACCCAATCATTTTTCAGCCCTTGCCCCCTCCCTTCCTCCTTCCTCTTATTTCCCAGTGTCTATGGTTTTCATCTTTATGTCCATGGGTACTCAATGTTTAGCTCTCACTTATAAGTGAAAATATGTGGGATTTAGTTTTCTGCTTCTGCGTTAGTTCTTTTAGGATAATGGCCTCCAGTTGCATCCAGGTTGCTGCAAAAGATATGACTTCATTCTTTTTCATGGCTGTGTAGTATTCCATGGTGTATATGTACCACATTTTCATTATCCAATCCACCATTGATGGGCACCTGGATTGATTCCACGTCTGTGCTTCTGTGAATAGCAGTGCAATGAACATATGGATGTATGTGTCTTTTTGGTAGAATGATTTATTTTCCCTTTGGTATATACCCAATAATGAGATTGCTGGGTCAAATAGTAGTTCAATTCTTAGCGCTTAGAGATAGCTCCAAATCGCTCTCCATGGTGCTGAAATCATTTTCATTCCCACCAACAGTGTACAAATGTTCCTTTTCTCTCAAGTTCGCCAGCATCTGTGTTTAGGTTTGTTTTGTTTTGTTTTGTTTCATTTTTAAAAATTTTTATCAAAAGCCACTCTGATATGAGATGGTATCTCATGGTGGTTTTCATTTACATTCCTCTAATGGTTAGTGAGGTGGAGCATTTTTTCATATATTCGTTGGCCATGTCTTGTCTTCTTTTGAGAACTGTCTGTTCATATGCTTTACTCACTTCTTAACGAAGTTATTTGTTTTGGGCTTGTAGATTTGTTTAAGTTCCTTGTGGACTGCAGATATTAGACTTTTGTCAGATGCACAGTGTGTGAATATTTTCACCCATTTTGTAGGTTGAGTGTTGACTCCCTGATAGTTTCTCTTGCTGTGCACAAGCTCTTCAGTTTACTTAGGTCCCACTTGTCAATTTTTGTTTTTGCAGCAATTGCTTGTGAGGACTTAGCCATAAATCTTTTTTTTTTTTTTTTTTTTTTTTTTTAACCAAGGCTGATATCAAGAAGGGAATTTCCTAGGTTTTCTTCTAGGATTTTTATAGTTTGAGGTCTTACATTTCAGTCTTTAATCCATCTTGAATTAATGTTTGTATATGGTGATCTGGTTAGTGTCCCGGTTTTATTCTTCTGGATGTGAAACTCAATAATAAAAAGACAACGTGGGCAAAGAATCTTAATTAGACATTTTCTGAAGAAGACACCCAGATGACAACAAGCATATGAAAAGATTCTGAGTATCATGATTCAGCAGGGAGATGTAAATTGAAATCACAGTGAGATATCATTTCACAAACACTAGGATGAATATAATTTAAAAGATCAGACAATAACAAGTGTTGGGGCAGGGTGTGCTCATGCCTATAATCCCAGTGACTCAGGAGGCTGGAAGGGAAGATCCCTTGGGGCCGGGAGTTTGAATCTAGTACGGATATCATGGCAAGACCTTGTCTCTACAAAAAATTAAAACTTTAGCTGGGTGTGATGAGGCACAACTGTAGTCCCAGCTACTGGGGAGTTTGAGACAAGGATTGCTTGAGTCCAGGAGGTTGAGGTTGCAGTGAGCTATGATCATGACACTGCACTCCAGCTTGGGCAACACAGTAAAACCCTGTCTCTAAAAAATAAATAAACAAATAAAAATAAAATAACAAATATTGACAAGGATGTAGAAACATTGGAACCTCCATGCACTGCTGTGGGAATGTAAATTGCTTAGCCACTGTGGAAAACAGTCTGCAGTTCCTCAAAAAGTTAAACAGAGAGTTACCATAGGGCAAAGCAATTCTGCTCCTAGGGATGTTCCCAAGGGAAATGAAAGCACATTCCATGCAAAAACTGGCACACCTATATTCACAGCAGCATTACTCACAACAGCCAAAAGGTGGAAACAGTCCAGTGTCTGCCAACTGAGGAATGAATGGTGTATTCATACAAAGGAAGATTATTACAAATAATTTATCATAGAAAGTAATGAAGTACTGTTTCAGGCTGCAACATGGATGAACCTCAAAACATTACACTGAGTGAAAGAAGGAAATTATAAAAGACCACATGTCATATAATTTCACAGGTATGAAATTTCAAGAATAGGAAAATAGAGACAAAAAGTAAATTAGTAGTCGTCTCTGGCTACTACTGTTACCCATTTATCAGACTCAGATGAGACATTCACACATGTCACAGGAAGTGGGTATATTAGTTACAGACAGGCAGCAAGGGAGAACAGGAACCTTGGATTCACTGGGAGACCTCTAGCCTCAGCAAAGATTCCCAGGTGAGCTGAGTCTCATCCATGTGTGCCCCACTCACACCGCAGCTGAGGGATCCCAGAAAGCTACCTGTCCTGGGTCTTATGTCCCAGGGCTACAGGATTCACTGCACTAAGGCACCAAAGAACGTCCTGTTTCTAGGAACTAGGACAAAGCCCAGGCTCTTCCGGCCAGTCCCTCCCTATCTTAGGATGTTGCATTCCCAGCATATTCTGTAGTTATTCTTTTTGTTCTTTTATTAATATTTTAATTGAAGCATGATCATTGTACATGTTTATAGGTCCAGTGAGATATTTTGATACATGTATACAATGTGTAGAGATCATTCAGGGTGAATAGTATATCATCTCCTCAAACATTTATCATTTCTTTGTGTTGGGAACACTTAATATCTTCTCCTCTAGCTATCTGCAAATGTGCAATAAATTATTGTTAACCCCAGTCATCATACAGTGCTACAGAATACTAGGATTTATTCCCCCTGTGTGGCTGTAGTTTTGTATCTGTGAACCAGCCTCTCCTCTTTCCCTCTTCCCCACCCCTTCCCAGCCCCTGGTAACCACCATTCCACCCTCTACTCCTGAGATCAACTTCTTTAGCTTGCACTTGTGAGTGAGATCATGCGGTTTATCTTTCTGTGCCTGGCTTATTTCATTTAACATAATGTCTTCCAAGCTCACCTGTGTTGTCACATATGGCAGAATTTTGTTCTGCTCTAGGGTTAAATAGAATTCCATTGTGTGTATACACCATCTGTTCTTTTCCCTTACTTTTCCATGTTTTCCATTCGTCTGTTGATAAACACTTGGGTGCTTTCATATCGTGGCTATTGTGAGCAGTGCTGCGATAAACATGGGGTGCAGGTATCTCTTCAACATACTGATTTCTTGTCCTTTGGATACACACCTGTAGTGGGATTGCTGGGTTAGCTCTGTTTTTAGCTTTTTGAGAAAACTCCATACTGTTTTCCTTATTGGTTGTACAACTTCCCAGGAATAGCGTATGAGTTCCCTTTCTTCTCTTCCTCTGAAGGATCTATTTTTGCCTTTTTGATCACGGCCATTCTGTGGGATGAGAGGACACCTCGTTGTGGTTTTGACCTGCATGCTCCTGATGATGAATGATGCTGAGAATTTCTTCAAGCTCTCGTTGGTCATTTGTATGTCTTCTTTCAGAAATGTCTGTTCAGCTCCCTCTGCAGTCACACCTGAGAACCACAAGTGAGACACAGGGAGAATTGCATTGGTCTGAAGCAGCCTGGAGAACCATCCTGTGCGGGAGTGAAGGGGGGGTACTAAAGGGTGGGAGCTTCTGAAATGTTCTATAACTGATTATAGTGATGGGTACACAGCTCTGTGAATATGCTAAAAGCATTGAAATGTATACCTGAAATGGGCGAATTGTGTGGTATATGAATGGTACATCAATAAAGCTGTTAACAAAACAAGAAGAGGTATCAGAGAGGTTGGGGATCGGTGAAGCTGTGGTTGTATCACTAGACTGAGGGTTCTGGTGGAATCAAAGCACGGGAGAAAGTAAGCTGGAAAGAGGAGGGTGGCTGGAGGTGGGGTACATGGGACAGACCCCAGTGGGGTGCCCTGTGAAGAACAAGGTCACAGATATCACCACAGGGGTGAGGGGTGGGGAAGGATCATTTACTTGTGTAAATGATCCCCATGGGGGCACTGCTTAATTGAGCTGTGGGAAGGAGGACACCATCCTCCAGTCCCCAGAATGGTAGAGCCACTGGCAGCTTGCATCTTGAGCATGGAGAAGCTGCAGGCACCCAACTCCAACCCATGAGAGCAGCTGCAGGGGTGAACCCTGCAAGGTCACGAGACTGGAGTGGCCCAAGGCTTTAGGACACCAACGCTGTGTATACCCCTCACACCAGTGTACCCTGGATATGGGACTGGGAGTCCAAGGAGATTATTTTGGAGCTTTAAGATTTAATGGCTGCCCTGCTGGATTGCAGACATGCATGGGGTCTGTAGCCCCTTCCTTTCATCTGATTTCTCCCTTTTGGAATGGGAATATTTACCCAACGCCTCTACCCTCATTATATCTTGAAAGTAAATAATGTGTTTTGGTTTTCACAGGTTCATAGGTGGAAGGAACTTGGACTTTGGACTCGATGTTGGAATGAGTCAAGACATTGGGAGGACTGTTGGGAAGAGATGATTCTATTTTGCAATGCAAGGACATGAGATTGAGGGGTCAGGGGTATAATGATATAGTTGGGATGTCCCCTCCAAATCTCTTGCTGTAATGCAATCCCCAGTGTTGAAGGAGGGGCCTGCAGGAAGGTGTTTGGATCATGGGGGTGGATCCCTCATGACGGGCTTAGTGCCATCCCCTTGGCGATGAGTGTGTTCACTCAGATCTGGTTGCTCACAAGTGTGCGGCCCCTCCTCAACCCTTGCTCCCACTCTCACCATGTGGCGTGCTTGTCCCTGCTTCACCTTCCGCCATGAGGAAAAGCTCCCTGAGGGCCTCCCCAGAAGCCGAGCAGAGGTGGGTGCCATGCTTGTGCAGCCTGCAGAACCATGAGCCATTCTAACCTCTCTCCTTTATAAATTACCCAGCCTCAAGTATTTCTTCACAGCAATGCAAAGAATGGTCCAATATACCCAGAAAGCTGAGAATGGCATGAATAAAATACAAAGACCATGGATGAATTTTGAAATCTAAAAACATAAAATTAGTATTATCTGGGGGAGTCAACACAGGAAAGATGAGAGCACTTGGGCAGAGGCTGTTGACCATTGGTCACATGTGGTCAGCAGAGAGCAGGTGACCAGCACCCTGGGGCTTTACGGGAAGCACCAGACAGCCTGGAGCTCAGGTATTAATTGTAGGGGCCAAAACAAATGGGGAAAAAGACAAATTTAGCACACAAAGAAAGTAGATGCTCAGCTGAGCCAGGAGGAAGTCACTAGCAAAGAGGGAAAAAACAGCTCTGGAAAAATAGTGTAAACAGTCACAAGGAAGGGATCCTGTGTCCTGCCTGACATCTGGACAGGTATATAAAGAGCCCAGGCTCAGGGAGCTCCACACCTGCATCTCCCTCTCACCTGCTCCTCTACCTTCTCTACTCTCAATCCACCAGAACCATGGGCTGCTGTGGCTGCTCTGGAGGCTGTGGCTCCAGTTGTGGGAGCTGTGGGGGCTGTGGCTCTGGCTGTGGGGGCTGTGGCTCCGGCTGCGGGGGCTGTGGCTCCGGCTGTGGGGGCTGTGGTTCCGGCTGTGGGGGCTGTGGCTCCGGCTGTGGGGGCTGTGGCTCTGGCTGTGGGGGCTGTGGCTCCAGCTGCTGTGTGCCCGTCTGCTGCTGCAAGCCTGTGTGCTACTGTGTGCCAGCCTGTTCCTGCTCCAGCTGTGGTTCTTGTGGGGGCTCCAAGGGCGGCTGTGGCTCTTGTGGGGGCTCCAAAGGGGGCTGTGGCTCCTGTGGGGGTTCCAAGGGGGGCTGTGGCTCCTGTGGTGGCTCCAAGGGGGGCTGTGGCTCCTGTGGTGGCTCTAAGGGAGGCTGTGGTTCTTGTGGCTGCTCCCAGTGCAGTTGCTGTAAGCCCTGCTGCTCCTCAGGCTGTGGATCATCCTGCTGCCAGTCCAGCTGCTGCAAACTCTGCTGTTCCCAGTCCAGCTGCTGCAAACCCTGCTGTTCCCAGTCCAGCTGCTGCAAACCCTGCTGCTGCCAGTCCAGCTGCTGTGTCCCCATTTGCTGCCAGTGTAAGATCTGAGGCTCTGAACCCAGACGTTCAGGTTTCTCCTGTTTGGTGAAAGCATTTGTTATGGTTTCCCTGAATCAGCTCATCCCACTCATCCTCCCTGAGGCACCTGCACCTTCTCCAGCTCACCATCCATGCACACACCTCCTTCCACAGCTCGGCTCTCCTCTGGGCCCTGCCTTCAGCCTCCTCACTCCGGAAACACGTGTTTCCTTGATGCAGGACGTGTCCTTGCCTGGAAGCGGGTGCCCCGCCAACTGCCACAGTGTTCCCTGCACTTGGGTGTGGACCATCTTCTTCTCCCTGGGCTGACTGAGATGCAAGGTCTGACCCCACAAGGCCAGGTCGACGTTCCTGAGTGATCACTAAAAACCAGTTCCTCAACCACCATCAGGATGCTAGGTCTTCCTGGGCGGCTGCCTGTTCTGTGGCCCACCTGTGACCAAGAAGGTCTCCTTCCTTTCTTGTTGTTTCCATCTGTTTAAAAACAATAACAAAATAATGAATGAATTTCCTTGCAATAAAGCCTCTCATGTCTGTAAATCAACTGTACGCTTGCTGTGATTCTGTCCAACCCTTTTCCTGTGCAGTGACTGATTCTGTGTTCTGATCTGTCAGCTAAACTGGGAAACGCCTGCCAGCAGGCTTGGGGTATTCAAAAGGAACCACAAAGTTCACACGGCCTCAAATATCTTCACAGTCTCTGCTTGCAGGAGAAGAGGGCTCAACCCGGGGAGGATACCGCATCCAGTGCCTGCCCTAGAGGCGCAGAGGAGCAGGCGGATCCTGAGTAAGACAGGAACAAAAGAGTCAGCTGAGCATCCAGTGTTCTGGCAACCTGGGGTCAGCCAGAGGAACTGGTATGTGTCTCACTTGACTCCAAGTACTGCTAGGCTGGTAGTCTTTCTTGGAAGCTACTGAAAAAAGATACAACCACCATGGCATATTAAAGCTCAGCTCCTAAGACAGTTGGCAGAGGGGAGAAAGATTATGGGCTCCTGAGAAGAGGCGTGGGAAACTTGCTTAGGGAATTCGAGATAACTGAAAAGCACACACACACAAGCCCAAAGAAGACATCTACTCAGAAAAAGCTTGACAGGTCCTGGAGTCTCTAGCTGGACTGATTGGTGAAGGGCTTCCCCTGCACATAGCCAGTCCACAAAGATAGGGAGAGGTGGTTGGTTTTTTTTTTTTTTTTTCACTCAAGTCTCAACAATAACAACAACAACAAAAATCACAAGGCATACAAAAACAAAAACAAACCAAAACAAACAGGAAAACCAGAGCCTATCAAGGGAACAAACAAACAAACAAATAAAAACTCATGAAACTGACCTTAAAGACATGCAGATCTATGAGCTGCCTGACAAAAAATTCAAAATAACAGTCAGAAGATGATCAATGAGCAAACATAGATGAACGACTAGACGCAATCAGGAAAACAATGCATGATCACAAGGAGAATAACAACAAAGACACAGAAACTATCAACAACAACCAAACATAAATTCTAGAACTATAAAATACAATAACCAAACTGAAAAATGTACTAGAGAAGTTCAACAGCAGACTTGATGAGGCAGAAGGGTGCAGCAAACTAAAAGATGGAACATTAAAATCATCAAGTCAGAGCAGCCAACATTTAAACAGAATGAAGGAAAGTTAAGAGAGCCCAAGGGACTTATGGGAGGCTAGGAAGTGGAATAATATACACACTACGGGATTCCAAGAAAGAGAAGAGTGAGAAAAGGGGAAGGAGCTTATTAGAAAAAAACCAATAACCAAAGACTTCCCAAATATTAGGGAAAACATGGACATACACATAAAGAAGTTTCAACCAGAATAAATCTAAAGAGACCCACACTGACTCACTTTAAATAGAGTGCCAGAATTCTAAGAAAAAGAATCTATAAAGCAGCAAGGGAAAACAACTCATCACACACAAGGGAGCTTTCAAGCAACTTTGTGGAGATGTCTCAGCAGAAACCTTACAGGCCAAAAGGGAGTAGGGTGGTATATTCAAAATGCTGACAGAAAAAAAAGCTATCAATCAAGAAAACTGGCCACCAAAAATGAAGCAGAAATTAAGGCTTTCCCAGTACATAAAAGCTAAGGAAGTTCATTATTACTAGACCTACTGTGCAAGAAATGCTAAAAGGAATCCTCCAAGGTGAAAGAAAAAATACTAGACAGTAATATAAAAATATAAATTCCTCCAAAAAGATAAATACATAGAAAAATACAGTAACATATATTAATGTAATTTTGGTACATAAATTCACTTTTAATATATGACATTTAAAAGAAAAAACACAAAAATTAAATATAAAGCCACTTAGTGGCTATATAACATGTAAACAAATATGTATTTTGTAACATCAATAACATGAAGTAGAGAGGGTGCAGCTATGTAGTAATATGGTTTTGTGTATGGTTGAAGGTAAATAGTTCTGAGTTTGAAAAAGAATGTCATTACTTTATTATATCTTATGTGATACAATGGTGACTACAAAGAAAAATGATCTTTGGATATTGCCCATATATACGTACAGAGCAACAGACTGAAGATAAACAAGGAAATGAAAGACTTGAACAGCACTATAGTGAAATTAGACCTAAAAGACATACACAGATGACTCCACCCAACATCAGCAGAGTATACCTTTCTCTTAGGTGCACATGGAGCTTTCTCCAGGATAGACCATATGTCAGGCCACAACGTAAATTTCAACACATTTTAAATGTTGAAATTATATGGTGTTTTCTCCAAGCACAATGGAATAAAACTAGAAATCCATAGGAGAAGGAAAAATGGAGACTCTACAATCATGTGGAAATTAAGCAGGACATTCTTAACCAATGAGGCAAAGAAGAAGTCACAAGAGAAATACCTAGAGACAAATGAAAGTGAAAACACAACATACCAAAACTTATGGATGCAGCACAAGCAGTGCTGAGGTAGAAGTTTATAACTATAAACACACACATCTAAAGAGAAGACAGATCTCAAGTTAATGACCTGCTGATTAAAAAAGGCAAATTCTGTCAAATATCTGTGGAGGTTTATTCTGAGCCAAATATGAGTGACCATGACCCAGGACACAGCCTCCAGAAGTCCTGAGATCATCACAAGGTGGTTGGGTCACAACTTGGTTTCATATGTCTTGAGGAACAGAAGTTACAGGCAAAAACATAAATCAGTGATGAGCCCCTTTTCGCATGTACATTCGCCATTTGTGTATCTTCTTCGGAAAATGCCTACTTAAATCCTCCGCTAAGTTTTTAATAGGATTGTATGTTTGGGTACTAAGAATTCTTTATGTCTAGATGCAAGTTCATTATCAAATATACTATTTGAAAGTAGCTTCTCCCATTCTGTTGGTGTCTTTTCATTTTCTTCATAGTGCTCTTAGAAGCACAAGAACTAGGCCGGGCGCAGTGGTTCACGCCTGTAATCCCAGCACTTTGGGAGGCCAAGATGAGCGGATCACGAGGTCAGGAGATCAAGACCATCCTGGATAATACAGTGAAACTCCATCTCTACTAAAAATACAAAAAAAATCAGCCGGCATGGTGGCGGGCGCCTGTAGTCCCAGCTACTCATGAGGCCGAGGCAGGAGAATGGCGTGAATTCAGGAGGCAGAGCTTCCAGTGAGCTGAGATCGCACCCCTGCTCTCCAGCCTGGGTGACAAAGCGAGACTCTGTTTCAAAAAGAAAAAAAAAAAAAAAGAAAAAGCAGCATAAAATCTATTAGTTTTGATGTAGTTAGTTAATCTAGATTTCCTCTTTCTCCTTGTGCTTTTGGTGTCATTCTCTAAGAGCCATTGCATACTCCAAGGTCATAAAGACTTAATCTGTTTTTCTTCTCACAGTCCTCTAGTTTTGGCTTTTACAATCAGGTCGTTGAGCTATTTTTTTCTGTTTTGGTCTTGTTCGTTTGTTTGGTATATGGTAAGAGGTAAAGGTTCAAATTCATTCTTCTGCTTGTGGACATCCAGTTGTCTCAGCAGCATTGTTTGTTGAAAAGGTTCCTTTTTTCCCATGGAATTATTTTGTACTCTTGTTGAAAATCCATTGACCACAACTTTGGTCAATGGACCACAGATAAACCCTTGAGGCTTTATCTCAAGGGTCTCAAATCTACTCCATTAATGAATCTTTCTATCTTTAGACAATCACCACGCTGCCTTGATTACTGTTTGCTTTGTAACCCATTTAGAAATTGGAAAACATGAGTCCTCAACTTTGTTTCTCTTTCAAGATTGTTTTAGCTATTTAGGATCCCTTGAATGTTTACATAAATTTTAGAATCAGTTTGTCAATTTCTGTGGAAAAGAAACCTGGAATGTTGATAGGAATTGCATTGAATTGGTAGATCAAGTATTTTAGAGTGTTTCAATCTTCAGAGTATTAGGTCTTCCAATACATGATCATGGGATTTTTCTCCCATTTACTTTGGTCGTCTTTAACTTCTTCCAGTGATGTCTTCTAGTGTTAAGTGTCCAAGTCTTGCAGTTTTCCGTTGCTTGTATTACTAGGAATGTTATAGTTTTTGATAGAATTATTCCCTTACATCCTGTTTGCATTGCTCATTGGTGGTTGTAGAAACATAGCTGACTTTTGTGTATACGAATTGTGCCCTGCACTCTTGAGTTCATTTATTGGGCATAATAGTTGTGCGAGCGTGTGTGTGTGTGTGTGTGTGTGTATCCCTTAGGATTTTCTACATACAAGATAAGGTTTTCTGTAAATAAAGAAACTTTTCCTTAGTTTTTTCCTGCTTGGGTGCTTTTTATTTCATTTTCTTGTCATATTACTCTGGCTACAGTTTCAGTGAACTGTTGCATAGAAGTGGTGAGTGTGGACACCCTTTTGATCTTAGGGGGAAACATCCAGGTTTTCACAGTTACGTATAGTGTTCACTGTGGGTAGATGCCCTTTTTCAGGCTGAGAAAAGTATCTTATGTTCCTCCCTGCGCCAAACCAAAGCTGGGAAGCCTGTGAGTGGTCAGAGAACACTTGGATTCTTCGTCACTCTGTGCCCAGAGAAGGAGGGCGCACATGAGCCTGTGCTGGGCCATACCATCTTGGGTCCCTGAAGCAGCACAATTTCCAGTGTTGTCCTACAGAGCATCTCAGGAGCACAGCTCATTCTAACCTCGCTTACCCCTCTACATGCTTGATCTTCCCTCTGGGGCCTGGATGGGCACAAAGACCACCCATTATACCCCTTCCTAGGCACTGAGGGCAAGGATCTCCTTCTCCCCCAAACATATCCTCCCTTGGGGAAGAAGCAGGAGTCCACAATTCCAGCCAAGACAGACTGAATCCCACGGAGATG